TGAAAAGTACTCTGTGTTCCTTCACTTATTAGATTAATAAGTGGTGGTGAGAAATGCTATATTCACTAATAACTTGTAGTGATGTTTGAGAATATGCTTCAAAGCACAAAAGCTTCATTATTTCAGTCAGTGCACTAGACACATAATTTTGAAATCAAATTTGTTAATAGTGTGCGTCCTGTCACATATTTGAAACAATGCCCACAAATTCGACAGGATTTGTCATAGTTTTAGACAGTTAAATTTGCCCCTTCCTGTTGTGGTTTTATTGTTGGGGGCACCTTTGCAAGTTTGGATCTCCCCAGTCTGCAGATATCTCCTCCTTGTCCATGGTTACAGAATTTTCCATACCTAGAAAAAAAAAGGGTATGTCATAAGTATGTAATAGGATTGAGGAACCTTTGGCTCTCCATATGTTAATGAACGTTTGCCACTGCAGTCCTTCCCCTTTTGCCAGGCTGGTTGGGATTGGTGGCAACTGGAGTCCATTAAAACAGGAAAGCTGAGGAGATTTTTCCAGCTGTGATACTTAGAATGACTGCTGACTGTATATCTGTTTGTCCTGCTCTTTTCCTGGCCAGTTATATCTTCACCCCACTTCCTGTGGCAAATTTATTTCACAATTTCTGACAGTTTTCAAATGAAGAAGTAAGTGAAAGACCTCAAACGTGGCTGCCCGGAGAGAAGATGAAGGTAGCTGACAGTGTGGCTAGATCTCTCTGTTTTATAATGTTTCCCCCTCTGAGATAAATACCGTATTTTTCGCACCATAAGACGCACTTTTTTCCCACAAAACAGGGGGGGTGGAAAGTCTGTGCGTCTTATGGAGCGAAGAAAACAGATTAGGTTTCCCCCTCTGGGATAAATATTTATTTCTCTAATGTTCCCAGTTTGCTCTGACAGCATTCTTCTTTGCAGCTTGTTTGTATTCTGTAGCAATACCTTCATGAATATTTGAGAAACAGTAGTTTCAACACTAGGTGTTTAACTCTGTTTCAGTGGGCCTGGTATCAGAACATTTCACAACACCTTCTTTAAAGCTTCTCAACTACCATTCATGTGATTTGCCTGTAGTGAGTAATGATTACCTTCAAACAACTGGGCAGGACAGTTCCGTACATTTGTTTCCATTTCAGGCCACCAGGGTGCTGTAAGTGACTTCAAACCTGCCCACTCATAAAGATCTATGTATAAATTATTGTGGGTTAATAACTTCTCTAGTTTTTTTTAAAAGCAAGGCTAATATAAAAACACTAAGCTCAATCCAGAAGAGCTATCCTGAGAAGCACAAACTGATTGACCAGACTCCATCGCTTGGAAAATTCATGCTTCTTCCTGACCTAAAAAGCAGGTTGGGCTACTCCTGTCCTTTTCTGCAGGTGGTATATATGCAGAAATGTTTTAGAGCATTGGGCTAAATAGTCTCAGTTTACTAACTGCAAATCTGATTTCTGTTAAAAATAGAGGGGTTACCTCAAAAGTTGGCAACACTAACTACTGATTGAGCAAAAATACAGACGCTACAGTAGTCCTACTCATTTGTTAACTGGCTCTTGTCAACATGCTGTTTCTGCTGCCTGCCCATCATCTCCTCTGGCTCACCTCCAGCTCACGTCGTGGCCTTGTCCCCTGACCTAAGGAGATGATCTCTGGAGGAGGTGATCCGGCCGCAGCAGCAGGAAGAGGTGCCTGAGCGCATGTGAATGCTCGTTTGCCTCCATCTCTGCCTGCTGCTGCTGCTGCCTCAGCCACTGGAGGGAACAAGCCGTGAGGTGGCGGCGGCAGCAAGAGGCGCCCGAGCGCGCGCGCGACTGCCTCCTTCCGTGTATAAAATGACCCTCAAATTTTCCTCTAATTATTTTAGGGAAAAGTGTTTGTACATGGAAAAATATGGTATTTATACAGGGAACTAAGTATAAGACAGTGTAAGAGGGAACCTGACCTTCCACCTCTCTTCAGGATATATTGTAGGTGGGAGTGGGCTCACTGGAGACCTCAGTCTGAAGTACGCCAATGTTCTAACGCAGTGGTTCTCAAACTTGGGCAACGCAGGTGTTCTTACACTGCAACTCCCAGAAAGCCCAACCAGCACAACTAGAGGAGAAAGCTTTTGGGAATTGCAGTTCAAGATGACCTGGGTTATCTAAAGTTGGGAACTACTGCTACAATGGACCAACCTCTACATCACTGACTATGAATGTTTAGACACACTTGATAGTGTTATACAGTGTTAGTTTGACTTGCTTGGGTTCCTTAATGGTAATTATTATCTGCCATCGAAGCAATTTGGACTTATAGTAACCTTTGCTATGGTCTGACGAGAGATGGCCAGGGGAGGGGCAAGTAAGAGAAAGGAAAGAGAAGTGGAGGGTTGGATATGTAGTTAAACCTCAAGAGGGGAAAGAAAGAATAAAAGAAGTTAGCAGAGGAATCACATGTGTTATAATGTAGGGAATGTAGACAGTTTTTACCTTAGAGCAGTGGTCTCCAAACTTTTCAGTGTGAAGGCCACATCATATATTTTACACATTTTTGAGAGCTGAAGGAGGAAAGGGGGAACCAAGCGATCCCCCACCCCCACTGTCTTGCAAAGACAGCAGGGGTGGGGGACTGCTTGGGTCCCCCTTCCCTGCTCTTCCTATGCCCGGGCCAGATAAAAAAGCAAGGCAGGGCGGATGTGGCCCGTGGGCTGTAGTTTGGAGACCTGTGCCTTGTGACGAGAGATGGGCTTGGTAGTTGTGAAGAAAATAAGTGGCAGTGAATAACAGCAGAAGTGTTACATTTGGTGATGACTTAGGAAACCTAGTCTTATATTCAATCCATTTCTATGGGTGGACATCTTCAAACCCCCACACACGCTACCTTCTCTCTCGTCTCTTTCCCCTGCCATCTCTCCTCAGACCTGATGTCTGTTTTCTGTCTTCTTGGGGAATTTGTACAACAGGACCCTAAAACATACATAGGCCTAATTACTCCATGTAACGAATGAACATTTAGAATGTGACACTGATATTTCATCTACAGTTCATTCCATTTCATTCTGTTTCTCTATGTCTGATGAAGTGGACATGTCCATGAAAGCTTACATTAAAATATAATAGTCTTCACGGCAACACTTGTTTTTATCTTTTGTTTCTTTGGTACAATCTGCAGTCCATTTTTTAATTTAAATTTAATATTTATGTCCTCCATCTTTGCAAAATCAAATTTGTTTAGAAAAAAATAAAAAATATATCAAAATGGAGTGATATTTTTTTAAAATCCCAATAAATAATACAATAGCAGGGTATGTATGTATGAACTGATTCAAGCTTCTTTAAGGACCTTTTTCTAATTTTTTTGATGGCACAAACTCCTTAAGTTTCCCCTTTATATTCTATTCATGCATTTGTTGGTCACTAAGATTCTTAGCATTCATTGCTTTATTTAACAGTGGCATTTCCTTTTAGTGTCTTATTCAAGGAAGTGAAACTGCTATATAAAAATGGAGAAGTTTAGAAATGCTAAAATACAGTAACAGAGTTCATAAAACCGCAGTCTTGGAATGTATGGAGTAAGAATAGAAGAAAGCTCTAAGTAATTCTCAATACATCATTCCTTAACCTTTAATTGTATGAAAAGATGTACAGTTACCATATGTCATGTTGTTTGTTCTATTGAACAGTGGAAGACACAGCTTTTACAGATAAATATATATATAATTGCAAAGCAGGGAGTTCCCCCCCACCTCCTTTTTCACTCTAGTTCTGCTCTGTTTGAAATAATTTTTCTCAAAATAGTTTACCTAGGCTATTCTTTTTCAACAAAGCAAAATATTTCAAGGGGACTTTTCAAGACTCTCGTAATTATGGTGTTAAAAGGAAATAAAATTATTGCAAGCACTCCTGTCTTTCACTGCCTCCCGGAGTTGGGTCAAATTCATGTTGGTAGCTTTGATGACACTGTCCAACCATCTCACCTTCTGTTGTCCCTTTCTCCTCTTGCCCTCACACTTTCCCAACATCAGGGTCTTTTCCAGGGAATTTTTTCTTCTTCACATGAGACGGCCAAAGTATTGGAGACTCAGCTTCAGGATCTGTCCTTCCAGTGAGCACTCAGGGTTGATTTCCTTCAAAATAGATAGGTTTGTTCTCTTTGCAGTCCAGGGGACTCTCAAGAGTCTCCTCCAGCACCACAATTCAAAAGCATCAATTATTTGGCAGTCAGCTTTCTTTATGGTCCCGCTCTCACTTCCATACATCACTACTGAAAAAAACATAGCTTTGACTATGCGGACCTTTGCTGACAAGGTGATGTCTCTGCTTTTTTAAGATGCTGTCTAGGTTTGTCATCGCTTCTAGGTTTGTCATCGCTCCTTCCCTAACATCATTAAGACTAGAGATTGGGGTATTCATATTCATATACAAATCCCCCCCACAGAGTGGACATAGCGAGGGTCCAACCCCCTGGGGCCAGACCATTAGTGGACATAGTGAGGGTCCAACCCCCTGGGGCCAGACCATCCACTCACCTTCTGCTGTTGCCACGAGCTCCATGATCCCTTCCTGTTGCCCTGGAGCTCGCTGTCTGCGACCTAATTCTGGCAGGAGAGAAGTCAACGAGCCTCATTGCCAGGTCAAAGAGTGGCTCACAGATCGCAAGCTCCGGAGTGATATGAAATAATTGTGAAACTTGCGGCAACAGCAGAAGGTGAGTGTATAGTCCAGCTCCCTGGGGCTGTTATGTCCATCGAATACTGTGTGGGAGTATTCATGTATGAATACAAATACACCCATCTCTAATTAAGACCCTGCTCAACACCCTTTTTAACTTTCTCTAAGCAATATATTCTGCCCCATTTTCTAAGTAACAATTAATAATTCTAATATATAGTTGAAAACTGTGATTTAAAAAACCCAGCACATACTCTCTCTCTCATTCATGGCATTTTCAATTACAGTACCTTAATTTTAAAGCTTTTGAAACCCCTAAGATTTACTTATTTTCTTCTTTTCCTCTAGTGGCTACAGATGTCTTCAATTCCAAGAGTTTGGCCATTCAGGCCCAGAAGAAAATTCTTGGCAAAATGGCATCCAAATCAATAGCAACTACTTTGATAGATGACACAAGCAGTGATGTGTTGGATGAACTCTACAGAATGACAAAGGAGTACATACAAAACAAGAAAGAGGCAGAGAAGATAATTAAAAACCTCATTAAGACAGTCATCAAGTTAGCAATCCTCTACAGGAATAACCAGTTTAATGAGGAAGAAATCATGCTTATGGAGAAGTTCAAGAAGAAGGTTCACCAGCTGGCTAAAACTGTGGTGAGCTTCCATCAAGTCGATTATACCTTTGACAGAAATTTTTTGTCCAAATTGCTGAATGACTGTAGAGACCTGCTTCATCAAATCATTCAACGCCACCTAACAACAAAATCTCATGGACGTGTCGACAGAGTGTTTGATCATTTCTCAGATTGTGAATTTTTGGCTGCCTTGTACAATCCATTTGGATCTTACAAAACCCATTTGCAGAGACTCTGTGATGGTGTCAATAAAATGCTAGACGAAGGGAATATATAAGTAACTTTATTGGTGTTGACTGATTATATAATCAACTGGGAATTACTGATGGCCTCATGAATTGAATGAAGGAGTGAAGAGCTAGGAAATAACTGTGTGGTTAATAAAGGAAAATACCAAACATGAGCTTAAATAATAATTGATTGTATTGATCCATTGCTATTCTTATTTTTACAGTAGTTTAAAATGTAGAATAATGGAGCCATGAAACAGAACTGCTCTAGTAAAATAGGGCTTTGTAAAATACGCTGGGAAATTATATAGTGAAACAATCAAAATGTATATTTCTACATGTAGAAGAATATTTATAATCCACCAACAAATCAGTATTTTTATATAACTCCTGCTCTACTATGCCACATATATTGTAACTGGAATTAAGCTTTAAGAAGAGTTAAGATTAAGCAGAAGCTATTCTCATTCATATAAAGCCACATATGCTATAACTAAATGTTTAGATCACATGGTCTGAGTTATATATCTTTGGGCTGGTTCTTCTGTGGAAAACTAAGGTAACGTTGACATGTTCAGGGCTCCAACTAGGTATCTTAAAACTGGTATGAACTAACAACTCCACAGCTATAATATACCACAATGATGCTAACAGTTCTTCTTAGCTCAGTGGTTTAAGTATCTGGCTATGGAGCCAGAGGTTGGAATATTTATTCCCTACTGTGCCTCTTCAAAAGGGCCTAGATTTGGTGATCCATAGGTTCCTTCCAGCTCTGCAGTTCTAGGATTATTACTATCATTATAAGATGTTAGGGACATTGTTTCCTTATAGATGTTTTCCTGGAAACTGATTTTAGCCCTGCTCTAATTCTGGTAGCCTGTAAATCTGGTCCCAAGGCTGAAGCTGAAGCTGTTTTATAGGAACATGCCCTGACCATCTCAAATAAGTGTTTGGCTTGTTGATCAGTAGTACATTAATTTTATAAATTTGATTCTAGACAGTTGCTTTTTTAAAATTGCAGTAATAAGCTGTGACTTTTCATAATGATTGTTCAAAGGAAACGGCTATATACATATGTCTTCCTATTCCCCTGCTAGGAGTGTATTTTAACATGAAACAATCACTTTAATTCATAACTACTATCATTGATGAAGGGCTTATATTCAAATAGCAGCTTGTAATTTGGGGGGTGGGTTGTTGTCCCCACCCAAAATACCCCAGACCTTTAATGTGCAAACTAAGTTTAATTTATCATAAGAACATAAGAAGACCCCTGCTGGATCAGACCAAGGGCCCATCTAGTCCAGCTTCCTGTATCTCCCATTGGCCCCACCAGATGCCTCTGAGAGCACACAAGACAACTAGATAGCTGTCTCCTGATCGTCCTCCCCCACATTTGGAGGTATATTCCTTTTAAGCCTGGAGATTATACATCCCCATCATGGCTTGTAACCTGTGATGGACTTTTCCTCCAGAAATCTGCCCAATCCCCTTTTAAAGGCATCTAGGCCCATCACATCCTGTGGCAAAGTGTTCCATAGACTAACAACACACTGGGTAAAGAAATATTTTCTTTTTTCTGTTCTTTCTCACCCAACACTCAATTGGAGTGGATCTCCCCTGGTTCTGGTATTGCATGAGAGTCAAAAGAGCTTTCCTCTATCCACTTTATCCATCCCCTGCATAATTTTATACTCCTCAATCATGTCCCCCCCCCTTGGGCGCCTTTTCTCTAGATTAAAGAGCGCCAAACGCTGCAGCCTTTCCTCATAAGGGAGGTGCCCCATCCCAGTCATCAATTTAGTTGTTCTCTTCTGCACCTTTTCCAGTTCCACTATGTCTTTTTTGAGGTGCGGCAACCAGAACTGTACGCAATACTTCAGCAGCGGCCTTCTCCTACTCTCCTCAGTAAAAGAATGTACTTCTAGGTGAAGTCATTCAATGACATGAAGAAAAAAAATGGTACAAAGTGGGTATACATGTCATACATATACCTGTGGAAGCATAAGTGCATCTCTAGTTGGAGATGATAAAGTATTTTTCTGTTTATAAGACACCCCCCTTCCTAACCCAAAAACTGAGAAAACGTAGCCTTGAGGATTCAGTCTCTGGGTTCAGAAAGCTCGGACATTAGGAGTCCCTCTTGAATCTGAGCCTACAGGCTCCACCTCCAACAAGGTATGCTCCAATTGGTTTGTTCAGCATCAGCTGACATCAGTTCCATAAGGCTCTTGACTGGAGGAAGCTAAGTCTCCTGATTAGAGGCAGCTAAGCCTCCTGATTGGAGGAAGCCTGTTTACAGAGGCAAGGTATGGGCCATTTTCTCTCCATATTCTCTCCATGTAAAAGACGCCCCTCAATTTTTAGTATAATGATTTTTAGGAAAAAGTAGTGTCATACATGGAAAAATGTGGTTATGTTAACACTTGGCAAAAGACCAGGGTGGTCTTGTATGGAGCAAGAAATTATAAGCATAGGAAGGAGGTTTCTACTGATATTGGAAACATTGTTCTTAAAACAGAAATCAGTCTGTACCATAATTTGAGGTAAATGTACAGCTAGTACAGGCAGGCACCTTGTAATTACCACAGCTTAAAGAAGACTTTTAAAGAAAAAATATTGAGGTCAAAAGTAGAAATGGGAAGACCTTGGGGGGTGGGGAAACAGGAAAATTGGGCTAAAAACAGTTTTTTTTTCTGTCTGTTTTTTCAAAGCCATTTTTTCCAGAAAAAATATGAAGTGTGGAATATGTTCTTATAAATAATATGTCTATGACATGGTATTCAAACTATATAACACAAAGACCTTAATGAAAGACTTCAGAGACTGTGTATTTCTCTCCAAATGAAGACATTGGGAAATAGTGCTTTTACATGTCATGCAAATGAGACTAACTGGTTAAGATGCTGATCAATATCTTGCTTTTTATTTAAGTGCTAGATTTTTTTATTTTATGAGTAAACAAAGCAATATTTGCACTCTAAAATGTGTGCATTTTTGGGGGGAGTGGTATGGTGAATTTTAAAAATGGAGTATAAGCAACTTAATTAAATCCAAACTGGTTTTTGTCCTCACTTGACTGGCAACATTCACTTTCTCCTGCCTCCATTTCCTGATGTTCTTGCAAGATGTTTTCAGCCCTATCAGAAGAAATCTGACTTTCTATATATACCTCATTCTTTTGTCTGCCCTCTGACTAGCTGGTTGGAAATTTCCAACCATATGTTACCAGGGATGAAGCATTAAACTATATTCCCCAGAGGCCAGCTGTAAACAGCTTTGAGCTTATCCTAAGAAGCATACATGGCCAATTTCTGCCATAAATTCTTGTGAAACTCATCATTTTTCTGCACTGTCCACAAGATATTGGTGCATGCCTGAAGAAGCTAATTTTAACATGAAAGCTTGCACTGATTGTTATTTTTGTGTGGTCTAATGAAGTTATCACCTTCTGCTGCATTCATTTTTCTAAGTTATCTTTCATCAACAAAGATGGAGTTAATGCAAACAGGAATTTTTCAGATGCTGTTTACACAGATGTACAAAGCTGACATATATGTATAGAATTCAGAATACACTAGAACGTTAAATGCTATCAGACATTAGAGAAAGTATGAATGTTTTGTCATGTAGGTGGTGTACTATGCTTTGAAGCTGCAAGTTGCCACTCATTAACATGGTGTTGCTTGCCTTCCTGAGCATGTGTCCAATTGGATCTATGCTCAGAAATGCAACCTGCAATTTCCTTCACACAAATGTAAATCGGCAATAGGATCAGATGGTAAGATAGGTGTACATCTAATCACACCGGAAAGAGTCACTTTGCAGGGAGCAATCTCCATTAAAGTAACCCTTCCATCCTTCACAGAATCTCCAGCCCACCTGGAAAAGTAATAGCCCTACTGCTGAGCCAAAAAGGTCCAGCTTGGGCACAGATCAGGGTCAGGCTGAGTGCTATTGCCCATATGTCATGTGACTGCCAGGAAATAGTTCACATTGGACCATGCCACAAACAGTTCAAAATGCAAACTATATGTTTAAGTGATCACACCCTTTGTTTCTTTAGTGTCCTCTCCTCAAGGTACTTGAAAAATAGTCATACAGAGGAGGACCATCCATGTTCTCCGTCATCCCAGAGTGCAGGGCAGTAATAATGGGTTCAAGTTACAGGAAGCCAAATTTTGGGTGAATACCAGGAAAAACTTCTTAACTGTTAAGAGATATACAGCAATGGAACTAATTACCTTGGGAGGTGGTGAGCACTCCCAACTATGGAGGCATTCAAGAGAAAACTGCACAACCATCTGTCAAATCTTCTGACCATTATTTACCCTCTGCTACAAGACTCACTTTGTGTGTGATCAGATGGTAAGATGGGTGTACATCTAATCACACCGGAAAGAGTCACTTTGCAGGGAGCAATCTCCAGTAAAGTAACCCTTCCATCCTTCACAGAATCTCCAGCCCACCTGGAAAAGTAATAGCCCTACTGCTGAGCCAAAAAGGTCCAGCTTGGGCACAGATCAGGGTCAGGCTGAGTGCTATTGCCCATATGTCATGTGACTGCCAGGAAATAGTTCACATTGGACCATGCCAAAAACAGTTCAAAATGCAAACTATATGTTTAAGTGATCACACCCTTTGTTTCTTTAGTGTCCTCTCCTCAAGGTACTTGAAAAATAGTCATACAGAGGAGGACCATCCATGTTCTCCGTCATCCCAGAGTGCAGGGCAGTAATAATGGGTTCAAGTTACAGGAAGCCAAATTTTGGGTGAATACCAGGAAAAACTTCTTAACTGTTAAGAGATATACAGCAATGGAACTAATTACCTTGGGAGGTGGTGAGCACTCCCAACTATGGAGGCATTCAAGAGAAAACTGCACAACCATCTGTCAAAGAATCTCCTTCCAACTCCATTATTTTACAATTCTTCTATAGTAGACTTCCATTGTAGTCCCACACACACTCTATTAGAATTTTTTTCCATCATTAGTATTTTGATGTTCTGATCTCATATAAACCTGTCATTAGCCTTCTCATCTAAGCCAAAAAGGTCCAGCTTGGGCACAGATCAGGGTCAGGCTGAGTGCTATTGCCCATATGTCATGTGACTGCCAGGAAATAGTTCACATTGGACCATGCCAAAAACAGTTCAAAATGCAAACTATATGTTTAAGTGATCAC